AATAAATTTTTTGTCGTTATTGTGTAACGACGAACACAAATGTCTTAGTTAATAGTTAACGACGAGTTCTTATGTTGTCGTTAATTTTAACGATGAACATCGTCGTTATAACCTTTAACGAGGGAAGCTATTACAACGACCCAACGACGACATTTTTTTGGTCGTTAAAGGTTTTAACGACGATTTTGAGGGCATTTAACGACCATTTTTTTCATTGTTAAAAAGCAGTTTTCTACTAGTGTACCCTCGATGAACTGGATATACTCCTCGATTGAGTATTCGAGAGGAAGATAGTTAAAGATATAACCGGGATCGACGAACATTTCATTAAGTGGATAAAAGCAAAGCCAAGTCTCCTTCTTATTAATTAAACCACATAACTCGTTCATCTTCGTGTTTAATTTATTAAACCAAATCGAACTAAAAAACCCCATTTTGTTACTAGTTCTATAAAAAGAAAAGTATTCCTTTCCCTGTGGATACGAACCTTACTTCATTATACTACGTATAATTGTTGTATTGTATTATTATTTTGAGTGCACACCACGACAAAGTGCACGTCAAATTTGGCGCCGTTGCCGGGGAAAGGCAATTATTTTTCTTTTTATTTTATTTCAAGAAAAATCAAAAAAATTAAATAAACAAAAAATAAAGAGTTCTTACTTTTTCTATTTCTGAGCTTACATGAGTATATGGTAAAAACCCGTTCTATAAACGAGCTTACTTACCAAACAAACCCCGAAATAGAACAAGCCTTCGAGAGGTTGAGAAATTTGTTTCCGCACACACCCTCGGAGGAATCCTCAAACGCTAGCTCTAGCTCTAGCGAATCCGAAGAGTCATTCCACATGGCTCTCGAGACAAGGACCTTGAGGGAGCTCACAGCTCCAAACTTGAATCAACAACCACTATGTATTACCTTGCCTACTCTTGATGAAGGTAATACATTTGAGCTGAAATCTGGGCTCATACATTTATTGTCATCTTTCCATGGCATGAGAGGAGAAGACCCGAATAAACATCTTTCGGAATTCCACATCGTTTGCACAAGCTTGTGCCCAAACGGTGCCACAGAAGAGCAAATAAAACTGAGAGCCTTCCCATTCTCCTTGAAAGATACCGCGAAGGATTGGCTTTTCTATCTTCCTTCGGGAAGCATCAACACATGGGCACAAATGAAGAAGTGCTTCCTCGATAGGTATTATCCTGCTTCCATCTCATCTTCTCTCAAAAAGCAAATAAGCAACATCGAGCAAAAGGATGATGAATCCTTATATGAATTTTGGGAAAGATTTAAGAAGCTATGTGCTAGCTGTCCCTATCATGGCTACTCGGAACAAGACCTCATCTTATACTTTTATGATGGTCTTGTTGATGATGATAGAAGAATGGTGAACGCCGCTTGTGGAGGCGGCATTGTTAATAAAACTCCTTCACAAGCTATAAATCTTATCTCGGAACTGGCCGAGAACTCACGGCAATTCGGTCGCAGATCCTCAACTCGTAGAGTTGCCGCTGCAGAATCGACATCATCACTGGAGAGTCAAGTTGCCGGCTTGACTTCTTTGGTTAAGGATTTCCTCTTAAAATCTAAGACCCAAGAAGTCAAGGTCTGCGGCATTTGTACACAACAGGGACACCCCACGGACTCATGCCCAACTCTTCAAGAAGACAATCTAGAGCAAGTCAACGCCTTGGGTTTCCAAGGACATCAACAAAGGAGGTACGACCCATTCTTCAACTCTTACAACCAAGGATTGAGGGATCATCCAAACTTGAGGTATGGAAACTCCCAACAATCCAACTCATCTTCTCAACCACCTTTCAACAATCAAGGCTCAAATTCTCAACCTAATATGTCAACTGATGACATGATAAGAGCTTTGACTTCAAACATGGTTACCATGCAACAAAGCATGGGTCAATTTCAACAAACCATAATACAATTCCAACATTAAACGAAGTCAAGCATTAAAAATTTGGAAACCCAAGTTAGCCAAATTTCAAATGCCGTAAGCCGTCTTGAAGCAAAGGACTCGGGTAAACTCCCATCTCAAACGGAGCAAAACCCGAGACAACATGTGAATGCAATCATGTTGAAGGGGGTAGAAAAAAATGACCAAGAGATCAAGGAGGTTGATCATGGAGAAGAAGCTCAATCTGAGGAGGGAACCACAAAGGCGAAACTTCCACCATATTCATCGTATGAACCAGTAGCCCCATTTCCCGAGGCACTGATGGAGACAAGGAAGCTGGAGAAAGATACTGACATCTATGAGACATTCGCCAAGTGCGAGGTAAACATTCCGCTCCTTAACTCAATTAAAAATGTTCCCCGTTTTGCTAAATTTTTAAAAGAATTATGCAAAACAAAACGAAAGGATAAGTCAAAAGAAAAACAAGAGGTCAAGGTTAGTGAACATGTATCGGCTCTATTTCAAAAGAAACTTCCCGAAAAATGTAGCGACCCGGGCATGTTCACCATACCTTGCAAGATAGGGGACACCGCATTTTCTAAAGCCTTGTTGGATTTAGGGGCATCTATAAATGTCATTCCTTACTCTGTTTATAAATCCCTACAACTCGGCCCACTACATCAAACAGGTGTAGTGATTCAACTAGCGGATCATTCTAATACTTACCCGAAGGGTGTAATAGAAGATGTGCTAGTAGAAGTAGAAAATATGGTTTTTCCTGTTGACTTCTATGTCCTTGAAATGGGAAATGATGACCAAACAACACCCATCCTTTTGGGTAGACCCTTCTTAAAGACCGCAAAAACAAAAATTGACGTGTCTAGTGGTTCATTAACTTTAGAGTTCGATGACCAAAAAGTAGAGTTCAACATCTTTGACTCTACGAAAAAACAAATTAAAACCCAATCTCTTTGTTCTTTAACTGTTTTTGGACCGCAAGAACCAAAGTCTTTGAAGGAATCTAATAAAATCCCAATTTTTCAAAAAAATAAGAATAGGGGATCATCTGCGGTTGAGGAGGCAATAAAAACAAAAATTCGACCTTACTGGAAAAGGTCGAAAAACAAAATGAGTACAAGGCCAAACAAAATTGTTCACGATCCCACTTAAAATAGAAAATAAAATAAAAATAACGTCGTGCCGCGACGTTAAATCAAGCGCTTCTTGGGAGGCAACCCAAGTTTGTATTTTGAGCATTTTCATTTATTTTTGTGTGCGAGAAAACCTAAAAAAAAAAAAATTGAAATTACCCGACCGGGTAACTCCAACACACCCGGCCGGGTACCTAAAGTTTTTTTGGTACCAGACCACTGCTTTGCAAATCCGGCCGGGTCAAAAAAATAAAATCAAATAGTCGAAATTAACTAATACCCGACCGGGTACCTTACTCCACCCGGCCGGGTTTCCATTCCAGTAGCTACTGAATAGAAAATTCGAACAACCCGACCGGGTCTTATATCCCACCCGACCGGGTGAACGGGAAAACACCTTATACCAGGTCGGGCTTCTCTCTTTCCTTTCCCATTCTCCTTCTTCTTCCTACGAACCAAACCCCCAAATCCTCCATTTTTACACTCCAAAAGCTTCGAATCCACCCCATTTCTCCACCAAATCAATCAAATAAAACCATTTTCTTCATCTCCCATTCACCCTCTTCCACCCTATACCCATAAATCCATCTCAAATCCACCAATTACACCAAACCCACAAAACCCTACCCCAAACTCGAAAATCCCCATTTTTGGGCATTCAAGGTCCAAAATCCAAGCCCAAAATCCCCAACCAAGATCATATCCTTGTTCTCCTCACCATTCTCTTCCAAACCATACCCATAAAAACTCTCCAAAATTCACCCTAGCCAAAAATCCGAAAATCCTTCAAGAAAAACCAAAAAAAAATCAAGTCCAATGGCTCCAAGAAAATCAAAAGGCTCTTCCTCAAGGGGTAACCGAGCTATACCACCGGTGCCGGGCTACGAGAATGTGGATTTGGCTACGGAGGGTCAAAGGGAAAGCTTCATCAACCAAACAAAGAGGGAGGTAAGACAATCCCGTTTCATGTGCTTAACTACTCTAGCATTACTGTGGATTGATGTTGTGATGCGTGACATATTTGCGAGAATTGGAATGACTAGAATATTTGGAATGCAATATGTTACATATCCTCATTTGGTGTATGAATTTTTTAGCTCGTTTGCGTATACGAAAGATGTGGATGATCATGCAAATGACATCATCACCTTTCGTTTACTAAATGAAAATCGTTCTTTAACCAAAAGGGAATTTGCTCAACACTTTGGCCTCCCATTATTTGATGAAGCACGTACATATGATTCTCTTGTGGGATATGAGTTGTGGAAGAGAATGACAGGAAAACCTGTGGTTGATCTTTCTAAGCTGAGCGTGAACCGTGTGCAACATCCGGTCTTCCGACTATTCTTAAAATTTTGCTCAAATTGTTTTCTCGGAAGACCAAATAATCATCACACACGGATTTGGGATGTGTGCGTTCTAGCACAAGCTGTTTTGCCTGGCCCGGATCAAGTTGATGTTGCCACCATCTTATGGACCCATTTCTACAACGTGGCAACATCAACAGGACCAATTGTGATGGGGGGCCTCATCACACATATAGCCACTTTATATGGTTTTGTAGACCACGGCCCCATCACCTCAAGACAACTTATTTGCACTGAATGGCTTGTAACAAAGACCCTAGACTTGGTATCCTCTCACAAAACACCAACCGGGGCACAAGTCTATAATTGGCGCATCCTCCCACGCACCTCCATCTACCTCCAAATACCCTCGGCCGACGTCCCCCTGGATATCATCGATCACCAAATCGGGGATGGTCATCACTATTGTCTTCCCGGGGCAATCCCGGATCATTATGAAGAACCCATCCAAAATGAAGATGATGAAGAACCCCCAATCATACCCGAACAACCCCCACTAATGCCTGAACAACCACAACCTCAAGCTTTTCACTACACACCTTTCGAGCAACAAATGCTCGATAACATGACCATGCTCAACAACAACTACACCCAACTTCGGAATGAAGTTGGATTATATCGTACGGAGCACAGGCAGAGCTTTGAGAGGATGGAGGAGCAGCGGCAGGCAGACTGGCGTAGATATGAGGAAGACCGCCGGAGAGATGAGGAGGACCTACGGAGGACCTATGGTCCTATTTATTCCTATGTGGCACATCAGGGTGGATTTGCATCTATGACCACTCCTCCTCCCGCACCCTCTTGGTACGATCCCACTGCATGGGGTTATTTTGGAGGTTCGAGTTCCGGTGGTGGAGGTGATGATGGTGGTTATAGCGGGGATCACATGGATGAGGACAGACACCATGATGGCGGTATGGGCGGGCACTAGGGACAGTGCAATGACTCAGCTGGGAGGAGATTGTTCTGGTAAGCTTACATTCACACTTTTTATTATCTTTTTAAATTAAAAAAAAAAAAAAAAGAGCTTGTTAAGTTGAAAACCCACAAAGGGCAACTTAAGCAAAAATAAGCAAAAATAAGAGTGAGTTTGTGAGGATTAAAAACAGAAAAATGTGGGAAGCTGGGATGAAAACCCGAAAGGGCACCTAGGCAAAAATGAGAGAATGAGAGAAATTATTTCTTTTGACTTTGCAGGATCCTAAGGGTGAGAATGAAAGGGAGTTCGTTGGTGAGAGAACCGATTTCGAAGACCTCTTGATGTTGGGGATATTTTTTGTAATCATTCTGCTTCTAGATACACTTTATGGTGGTTGTTTTGATACTGTTGTTTTGAAGACTTCATGGACATGATTTATTTTACTCGAGACGAGTAAAAGTTCAAGTGTGGGGGTATTTGATATGCACTAGTTAGTAGTGCATAAATGTGTATTTTTATATCTTGTTTTGTATGGATTGTTTACCATTTGTGTGTAGTTGTAAACATTTGTTTACTTTTTATTTGTAAGTGTTTTTAGCTTTTATTTGTGGGTTAGGAAGTTTTGGTAGAATTGTTGGCAAGGAAAAGGAAGAAAAACAAGGAGGATGCTGCCCAGAAGAATAAACCCGACCGGGTAGAAACCTTCACCCGGTCGGGTTTGAATTAACATTTGCAGTCTCCAGGAAATTGCTTGGCCCGGTCGGGCTCTATACCTCACCCGGTCGGGTGAGACTTGACCGAAGACAACCCGGCGTGTTGAAGAACATTAGAACATGGAAAATATTTGATTCGGACCAGTACCCGGTCGGGTAGATACTCTACCCGGTCGGGTACTCGGCCAAAGGTGTTGAAAAACACCTATAAATAGCACACTTTTCCTTCATTAAAAATAATCCCTTCTTCCATACTCTTAAGCTTAGTTTAGAATAGTATTTCTTTTATATTTTTATAGCATGTTTAGTCTCCAAATGAGGAGCTAAACTCTTCCATCTTGGTTTTGCTACTTTGAAGCTTAATGAATTTGTAAGTTGTGAGTTATTCTCTTTAATCTTCTTCCTTGAATATTAATTCTTCCTTTAAATACTATTTCTATATCAATGTTGGGGAGTGTTACTAAGATGACAATTAGTTAACATCTTGACATTAGTTATAGTAATAATTATTTCTTCCTCTACGTTAATATTGGGGAGTGTTACTAAGATGACAATTAGTTAACATCTTGATATTAACTATAGTAGGATTCATCTTCTTTAATATTCTTTCTTGAGTATTAATTAACTCCTATTCATATTTCATATTAATATTTTGAACATTACTTAAAGGATCAACTAGTTTTGTTTCATATATTAATTAATACTAGAATCGGTCGATTAATACGCTTGTTATTAATTCGGTCCTTTCATGGTAGTAAACTTGGATTATTAATGCATGCATCTCATGGTTAATAATCTAAGGGGAATTAATTATATTGATTAAACCAATAAACCGCTTGTGTTGAGGTTATCAATCTCAATCGTTTTCATCTTAAGTTTATTGCTACTATCAAGTTAATATACGGCGCTTGTTCTATATTGACTCGATAGTAAGTTTTATTAATGAACGCTTCTCGTTATTAATAACTACCCTCGATGAACTGGATATACTCCTCGATTGAGTATTCGAGAGGAAGATAGTTAAAGATATAACCGGGATCGACGAACATTTCATTAAGTGGATAAAAGCAAAGCCAAGTCTCCTTCTTATTAATTAAACCACATAACTCGTTCATCTTCGTGTTTAATTTATTAAACCAAATCGAACTAAAAACCCCCATTTTGTTACTAGTTCTATAAAAAGAAAAGTATTCCTTTCCCTGTGGATACGAACCTTACTTCATTATACTACGTATAATTGTTGTATTGTATTATTATTTTGAGTGCACACCACGACAAAGTGCACGTCAATGCTATAGCATTAAATGCGGCTTCCGCTTGCTGATTACCCGTTCGGGTGAAACGTTCGGTGTGCGGGACCCCGCCATGGGTGTTTTAGGTGTCAGTGTTTTCTTGAAATACACCAAGTAGAAGAACTGCGCCGAATGCCGATCGGGGTGTTTAGGCTTTGGGCCTTAACTTTCCTCCTGGCCCCCCATACTTTGGGCCGGGTATATTGGGTCTGGACCCAATATCCCGACACTAGTCCCCCACTTCCTTTGTCTCAAACGGTAGTGAGTGCATAAGGAAGTAGAAGGAGACATGATTCCCGAACGCCGGTCGAGATCCCGCCGGTTCCCGATGCAATCTTTAGACGGTTTTATGCGGCTGCCGTTTCAGTTTTCATATAATCGTAATGATTACTTGGGGATGACTCTTTGTGTGACACGTGTACTTGTAATTATTACTAATGACGTGGCCTCCTTTGATTGGTTGTGGGTTCGGTGTGGCAGATTATAAATAGGCTTCTCTAGCCTTGGTTCAGGGTTTCGAAATTCGGAATCTTCGGTCCATTGCTCTGTCTTCTCTCTAGGGCTTCAACAGTTCCTCTTGCTCGGGTACCCTTCGTCCTTTTTTCTTCCCTTTCCTCTCTTGTTCAGTAGTCATGGCTCCTCGACCGCGTTCCAGTAAGTCTACCCTTGAGGCGACTTCCTCACAGGAGGTTCAAGCAGAAGTACCAGAGACTGCAAATGTCAATGTGGAGGTCACCGGTGGTACTCGTGGTGGCAATGCTTCTTCTTCCAGTACCTACCCGGATGGTACCAAGTCTGAAGATGAACTTGAACTTATGGAAGCCGGCCCTCCAGGGGATGTCCCACGCCATAGGGTCGATTTAAACCTAATTTGGTTTCAGCGACAGAAACTCACAGGCCCGAATAGGGCCCTAATCCCTCTTTTGATCCCGGAACCAGTCGATTTCCGCCTTCAATCTGGGCTTCATCCATGACGTCATCTTCCGGGGATGGTGGTGGTTCATTTTGATTCAGTGAAGGCTGAGCTTAGATTCCCGCTTCACCCCTTTTTTGTGTCTCTTTTAAATTTCTATGAAGTGGTGCCAAATTATGCCAAACTCCTACCGGGCTATGGCCGGTTTCATCAGTCGTTGTTCGGATGTCGGGGCGACTCCCACCCTGGACCTTTTTCATTACTTCTACACAGTTATTCACCAACAGGCTGAGGGTTATCTGGTAGCCAGTGCCCGAACGGGGCATATGTTGTTTTCCGGTTTTCCCTCGTCAATCAAGGGATGGAAAGACCGGTTTTTCTTCGTTTCCGTGCCGGAGGGTCTGATCCCAAAGAAGTGGAATGCTTTTCCCAGAAAAACCCCTGAACCCTTCATTTATGAGGAAATGGCCGAGGATGTCGTGGCAATAGAGAAGGGGAAGGTTTATGACATAATGAATTACCTGACCCCCGAACAGCTTATCAAGGCCAGGATAGGTACTGCCTGGATTCCTGGGTTTACTTGATTTTGATAACCAAGTACCATGGACTGGGCGGTCCATCCTGTGCGGGAACACTTCCATCTTTTGTTTCACACACGTTGGAGCCGCTCGGTACTAACTTTTTTTTCTTTGTCTTTTTTTTAGTTCTCAATTCGGACGAATCTTCAAAATCTGAAGAAGCCCGTCCCCAACAACAAGCCATGGATGACAGCAGATTATTTTCAGTTGGTGTCGATGACGAGTCGCAGGCCTCCCTTTCTATCCAGGAGAAAAAGAAGACCAAGAGGAACAGGCTGAGGAAAACCGATCAGGCTAGCTCTTCCCAAGCTGCCCCTCCCAGTTTTGACCAACCCGAGCTTGCTCAGGAGGCAGAGCCCGTTCAGCAGCTCGCGTCCGATCAGCAACCATCTCATGCTGGTATGCTGATGGACCAGCTCTTTTCAGATCAGGAACCTAACTAGTTTTCTGCTAATGAAGTGGCCGCTCATCGATCTGACTTGGCCAGGCATTTCGAGCGGATTTCCCTTCAAGATCCTGCTCATGATATGTTGGAACGGGGGGGTTGTCCAGCGAGCCGGATCTGGTCCACCTCTGCCTTCCTTAATAGATTTGCCCTCCTCCAACTCCCGGTCGAGGAAGCCGAGGAGTGTATAGCCTTGGCTGCCTTGAAGGTAGTTTCTCATCCTAGATTCTTTTTTATGCCTTCTCTCCTGATTGCGCGTTCACCTTGTTACCTCTGTTTGACCCTGTGCAGGCGGGGATTTATAAAGCTCCGTGAGACCCGGCTGGCCAAGGTACGGGATCTGGTTGTGGCCAAGGAGAATGCTGAGCATGCTTCTTCTTCCGCTGTTCAGGCCGCTGAGGCCGCTCAAGTCAAGTTCTCTGAGGCTTCTTCTCAAATCCCGGACGGTCCACCTGAGGTGACTGTGGATCTTTCGGCTGTTCGGGAGAGCTTCAAGGAATCGGAGGAGTTCCTGGTTTTAAAGGAACAGTACGCCCTTGAACAGCTTCCTGATGTCTTCGGGCGGCATCTGACCAAGCTGAGTGGTGAAGAGCGCCAAAAGGAGGGAGTGAGGATGCTCGATCAGCACCCGGTGACCAGGGGTTTGCCGAAACCCTTGCCCGGGAGGTTTATGGCTCCGGGTGTCAGCACATGTTGCAGCCTCTTCTCCCCCTTTTGGAGAAGCAACTAGGTCGGCTAGTGCAACCGTCCGATTTCCCCGGTCTGCATCCTGGTCACCTGAACGCCTTTAAGGTCCAACTAGCCAAGTGGAGGCAGGCTTTGGGGATGGAAACTGTTCAGGCCATTGAGGAAGAGGCCGAAGAGGATGAAGATGATGAGGGCGAAGATGACGACTATCAGTAGAATAGTTTCAACCCTTATCTTTACTTTCATCATTTTATCATACGTATGACTGTTTGTAACTTCCGGCCAGTAGAGCCGATGAATACAATGTAGAATTTTGCCTATCAATCTTGACTCTGTAGTTCGTTTCTTACTGGTTTACTTTTGGACTTGGTCATCTCATGGATCTCCATTTCCCCGATCCGGTGTATCTTGTTCTGTTATAGCGATCGGGTAGCCTATTCGAGATGGTATCCACAGGTTGAGTCCAATATTTAGGACTTGGTTATTTCATGGATTCATCCCATCCGTTCGGCATGTTGCTCTAGCAAGCATAAGTCCACCATTTAGGACTTGGCTATTTATGTGATTTATTTTGACTCTTATGCTCTTGTATTCTCCCAGCCCGTTCGGGGAAGATGCGACCTTGTGACGTTACGTCTTTGTTCTGTTCGGTGGCCCTGTTTGGGTCTGTAATTTTTTCTGGCCTACGCCCAACCTTTAGGACAGATTCTTCTAATTCCTTCGGCCCGTTCGCGCATGTTATTCTTCCTCACCTAAGCCCAACCCTTTAGGACTTAGTTATTTTTTCAGTGGGCCTTAATCAGGATGAAATCAGGAGTTTACTGATCGGGATCCGGGATGCCAAATCCAACCCATGTGTATCCTGATGCAGAACATTATGTTTTATCCCGTTCGGGACAAATGTTCGTAGTGCTTTTTCCACGTTGCGGTTCATGGCCACGTTCGTTGATTTTGAACCCGTTCGGGTGTT